TTTTTTTTTTTTTTTTTTTTTTTTTTTTTTTTTTTTTTTTTCCATTATGCCACATCCTCCATCCCTTTCCCGCAATCCTTTAAAGGGGCTTGTCACCCCTTCGAATCCCGTCTCCCGCAGGACCTGACACCAATAATTATAAATCGCCCCTTCGGTAGTCCATACGAACCGTTCGTCTATAGCTTTGTCTATAAATTTCAATAATCGGCACGCCGGTTGCAACCCACCGATAATTCCGAGTCTCCGGCGTCTTCGGGGACGACATCTCGGACAGCGTGCGAATGGATGACACGAATCGGCGTGTGCGGCGGCGTCGGGGCCGCGGGCGAGGAAATTGATCGAGTTTCCGTTTAATTAGACCGTAATGGCCGACTCGTTGCCAACATGTCGGCGGTGGCGTCGCGACGCCGTGCGCCGAGGAAATGGTGTCATCCTCATCCGTCGGCGGCGCCGAAACGGGCCGACGCCACCGGTCGCGGTAGCCGATATACCTAATTATCGAGGCCCAGATCATCATGGGAATGTCGGATGCTCGCCGGCCACTCGCGCCAGGGCCGAATGCCCACCAACCGACGCGACGCCACCGACGCCGCCCACTCGGCCGCCGCTCTTCCGCTCGCGAGAAGACGCTGCAATCCGAGTGCATCACTCGGTGATGTGCGGTTACGGCGTGGCGTGCTTTGTGATATATCGATTGATCTGCCTTTTAAACCTAGGGAAAAGTATCGATAAACAGGGTGTTCGCAACGAGCACCTTAATAATCGATTCTTTACCACAGCTTTAACTGGGGAAATATATCGATGATTGATCATTTGCGCCTCGCCACTGATTCCTCCTGGAGATCCACACGGCCGAATTCCTAATTTTTGTGGCTTTCAACCGTTAATAACCTCTGTAAGAACTCGTCCGTTAATATTTTCTGAAATATGATCAAAACATTGACCTTCTGAGGGCACGAAGCGGCCAGTACGGGTTGAGCCGCGTAGTGACATTGGCAATTAGGCGTGCCTCCCCCCCCCCCCCCCCCCCC